ACCTCCTACAGTACCTAAATACATGTTAAGTAATTTTTCCACCAAAACCATTTGTATATGAGTTTTGCTTTGTTTAAGAATATAAGATTATATTCTGTCCATTTTATGTCACTATTTGTTCACTTAACATAATCATCTAACCATTTGTAAAATCTTGACAATATATTTTGAAATCTTTCTTCTCCTTGTTCTCTCAAAAATAAAGTCAGTTTGGTCCATGTCTGCTGTTTCAAGAGTTTTGTTTATCATTTCTTCTTTTGATGGTACTTCTCCAGTATTTGATGGTACTTCTCCAGTATTTAGCATATAATATTCTTGCTGTGGTGTGGTCAATATGTGTATGATAAGATAAAAGTCTTGTTTTTTTACAATTTTCTCATCTTATGTTCAGTAAAAATAATTCAGGTGTAAAAGATATGATATATTCTAAGATTTTTTGCAACATTTTGTGAATTTATGAGCAATACTTTTTAAGATTTTGTTCCCAGGGGCTGTCATTCCACTCTGTGCCCTGTCATCCAGTCCCAGAATACTTCCGCTTCTCCATGGAGCTATCGTCCCACTTTGCAACTTGTCATTGCAGTCCTAGAGCACAGATTCTGTTCTCAGGGGCTGTCATTCCACTCTACGCCCTGTTATGCAAGTCCAGAATACTTTTGCTATTCCCAGAGGCTGTCATTCCAGCCTCAGAACACATCTCCTACCCCCAGGGACTGTCATTCCACTCTGGTGCCTGTCATTCCAGTCCCAGAGTAGTCTATCTGGGCCCAGAGACCTTAATGGAGAGTCCAGTCTGCATTTTCATTTTCATCCAATTTTAATTGGATTTTAACATATAGGACAAGAAAATATAAGGGTAGGAATGGTACAGGGTATGGGATAAGACATATAGGAGAATTCCATCAAATTTATATAATAACTGTTACAAGTTTTCAGTTGTAGTTCTATTTCTTTGTAGAATTACTAAAGCTAGCATCACTTAGCCAGATTTAAATCTTTTGTTATGTTTCCTGACAATTTCATATAGTTCAAGTTGAAGTCTCTCCAAATTTATATTATATATATTCATTGTTCTTGGTTTTCGAAGTTTCTTTCCACCCAGTCATAAAATAGTGTCCACTTGCTTTTCCCAATTTGTTTACTACTGTTCTTCAGCGGGTTTGACAGTATATCCATTTCTGCTGTTTCAAGTTTTTTTGGCAAAAGCTCATTTTCCGTTGGTATCTCTGGTCCATTCCACATTTTCTTTGCAACTCTTCCTGTGTTTTAATGTAGTTCAATGGAGCCCATGCAAGCCAATTGGCATCCCTGGCTCTCATTATTTCCAGTGTGCTTTCAAGCCTCTCCCATTGGTTCCAATGGGCAATCCTGTCATTCCTTTTAGTACATTTATTAATGGGGTATAATTTCTCCAAAGCACTTGCGGTCCTGTTGATTTCAATGGGAAAAAGCTCATGTTTAATTTAATGGCACCTGGTATTTTTGGCCACTGTGTGACAGAGTGTTGGACTAGATGGGCCTTTGGCGTGATCCAACATTGGCATCTCTTATGTTCTTATTTAAATTAATGGAACCTTAAAGTATTTAAATTTGCATCATGACCTTTACTGAATTAGACAAAACACACAAAGTTTTTAAAAAAGAAACAAATGTGATCTTGCATATCAAGGGCAAAAATATTGTAAAGATTATCTTGCCTCATTGTAATCTGTGTAACACATACATAATTTATAATAGATGTAAATTTTGCTTTTCATTTGGATGTTGATATTGTTTGAGGTCCTTGTTGCTTGGTTTTCTTGCAATTTTTTTTTTGCTTTAATTAAAAAAAATACAGTCCCTGTTGTGAAAATCAGAGAGTTTGAAGCACAAGGAAAATAATATAATTGGAGAATAATGAAGGAGCTCCTAAGAAATCCCCCAAGACAGAGAACATTGCTTCAAATCATTAATCGAATTCAATAAGCATTTATAAACACCAAGATCTAAGGTGTGTAGCTCCTTTGTTGATTTCATTGATTACAAACCACCACCACCCTTCCTTATTGGGTAATGGAACAGGGTCTAGCCTTAGCTACTGTATTTCTGAAACATTTTATTTGAGACAACCAAATGCTTTTGAAGACACTGTTTTATTGGCTACATAATTTTTTCACATGGGGCTGTTTGTGGAGGCAAAGATAAATTGTTTTGCATGTTGCTGGGCTTGCAGGATTTTATGAATTGTTTAATAAGATTGCATCAGGAAATGTGAAGCTACTAAAACACACTGTGCAAGTATTGAGAAGTACAACCCAAGTTTTTCTAGGCTTACTCTGAAGAAGGTCCCACTATGTTGAGTGGAGCTTAGTCAATCATCATTCCTTCATTTACTCACTAGTCTCGCTCAGGATTTGATCATGAAGTATTGGAAGATTGCTAAAAATAATTTGAACAATCAAAACTCATGGGAAGTAATAGAAATGGTAAAATATTTTAAGACATGATAGTGGGATTAATAACATATCAAACTATTCTTTTTAAAAATCGATGCACAGTTCAGATTATATTTTGGCAATACCATGTACGAATTATTTTATGCACTTAAAAACACTTTAGATTTTTTAAAAATGAGATGGCTGCTTCAGGTCTTGCTAAAATGTGGAACATATGGAATATGTTTCAGTTTAGTTTATTGTAATTAGCCATTGGCTGTTACAAAATTACAAAATACAAGAGATGGAATATGAATACTGCTTAATGACATCATTCTTAAGATTTCTTTTACAAGTAATAAAAATGGGCCTGATTACTTACCACTATGCACTTGTCCTATCTTGCTGTGAATTCCCCCTGGTACCCCTTGCTGCATCAATGGCTATGATTTTCTGCTTGTTTTTTCTCCTTTGCTTCTTCTTTTTGCTTTTTTGCATTTGTGTGTGTGCGTGACCGTGCCTGGGAGTCATGGCAACCTCTGGTGACTCCTACTGGGGCATGGAGGACATTCGGAGAAGCAACTTGATAGTCTGCCTCTGCCTCCCGACCATGCTGTTTTTTTGGAGGTCTCCCATTCAAATACTTCTCAGGATTGGATTGGTTTGGTTTAGCCTCTGAGATCTGAGGAGATTGGGCTTGCCTGGGCCATCCAGGTCAGGGCTACTTTCCCCTTTCAGTGATTTTTGTTCAATAATTAACCAAGGTCAGTCTCTGTTACACATATGAGGGGAGTAGCAGGACTCTTTCCAGGCTCCTAGCAGCTGAGCCTCTTTTCCTGCGGGATCATTTCTCAGGATAGGGAAAGCAGAAGAGCAACGCATGGAGGTATAACTTCTCAGAGAGCTCTTCAAGTTTTGCTTCCCTCCTAACACCACTGCTAGGGAGCCCAACAGGGCTGCCAGAAGACTCCCACCCTTTCCATTCGAGAAAATTCCAGCTCTGTACTGAACGGCCCCTAGCACAGGATCCAGAAGCATCCCACTCTGTGTACATAGTGGCAAGGTTAGAAAGGCTGTGGAGACACTCCAGGACTCTTCACAGTGTTTGACTCGAGCTTTGAGACTACGGCAACCCCCCACCCTAGAATCATTGTCACCTGTTGGTTGTCCCACTGTGCTTAAATGCTTTATGTAGGTTGTAATTACTCTTCTTGACATATCAGCTGAACCACTTTAGAGAAGACTCAGAATGTGTCTGCCTCAGAGCTGGAGCCGAGTTTGATTTAGGGCAGCAGCCCAGATGCAAAGGCGGCTGCGCTCCCTGTAGCTTCAGCAAAAGCAGGGAAGGGGTAAATGTGGGCACAGGCACAGAGACAGGATCTGCTGAAATTCTGTTTTGTGCACTGAGAACTGATGTGGTGCACTGGATAGACTGTTGGATCAGGACCAGGGAAACTTGCCCCCAGCACAATACACAAGGTGCCTTCCTCTCTGCCACCTACAAGCAGCTCCAATACTGCTCTTTTAGGAAATCAGATATTCACACAGGATTCCCCATGGATATAACTTTGTCCCCTGCTTTCTTCAGTGTGGCATGGTCTTCCCTTCTTTCTTTCCTCCACTTACTACACTGCCTGCTTCTGTCACTCTTAAGTCTACAAAGCACGTGGACTGCGGAGAACAACATTCTTTGATCCTCGTTGGGTTTAACTCTCTGTTCAAATCAGGAACAGCTATCTACATCCTACTCCGGATGCAATGGCACAATCCTAGCCACCAAGTGTTACAAACATAGAACAGGGGCTAGTTTTGTTGTTGTTCAGTCGCACAGTCGACCGAGCGCCGAAGAATAGATTCTTTTGAACTATGGTGCTGGAGAAGACTCTCGAGAGTCCCTTGGACTGCAAGAAGATCAAATCAGTCAATCCTAAAAGAAATCAACCCTGTTCCCTGGAAGGCCAGATAATGAAAATGAAGCTCAAATACTTTGGCCACCAAATGAGAAGGGAGCACTCACTGGAGAAGACCCTGATGCTGGGAAAGATTGAAGGTCAAAGAAGATGGGGACGGCAAAGGATGAGATGGTTAGACAGTGTCATTGATGCAACGGACATGAAATTGAGCCAACTTCAGAGGACGGCGGAAGACAGGAAGGCCTGGCGGGATCTGGTCCATGGGGTCGCAAAGAGTCGGACTCGAGTAGTTACCTGATGACTTTTGCAAACAGGTAACACTGCATGTTGTGTATAGGGGGAAGTTACTTACCAGTGGATGCCCCAAGAGGACAGGTAAAAGTACTTTTGCCTAGAGGACTATGGTTTCATCAGGAATTCCTGACTTGAAGCTGAAACCAGACACTTAGTTACAAGCCAAGCTGTTAACGATGTCCCTGAATGCCCCGCTCCAGAGATCCTTGTATGGATTTGACCCTGTCAACAAGTTTCATGTGCCCAGGTCAAGTTCAATTTAAACATATTGCTGGCAAGCAACAAGAACTTAATGCATGTAACTTTATACATACTCCAGTTTAAGCTAGTCGACATGCATTCCAAGTTAGTACACAAGCACAATACCTCTCCAGGCTGTGGGTATTCAGCATGCTAACAGCGTACACTGAGCCTCAGGTTAAAGACATTGGGCACGCACAGTGTTGCACAGGTAAGTTCTTACCTTCCAACATCGCTTTTAAATTGGGTCTTGCTCTTTAAAATGGGGCTGAGAGAGGAGGGGGGAGAGCACTGAGGGTTATTGTAGCATACAAGTGAGGTGTTATTTAAAAAGTCATACTACAGGCCTAAATGGAAAATCTTCTCAGGGAACCTTATAGAGAATTGCAGATTTTGAAGCTGAAACATACAGTTTTATGTGACCCAATGTTCCATCATTAACTACTGGGTTAAATTTGTCTTACAGCAAGGTTGCTGCCACCTATTCCTATTTCCATACTAGGTGCTGGCTGCATTTATTCTCTACTTCTCCTTTCCAAATAATTAGTTTTATGTCCAGTTTGTCAGAGGTTACTTAACTACTTAAGACATAAATGCAGCACTTACTATTCGGCACAGTAACAAAACGTCCACCACAATCTCGGCTCATAGGAAGCTACTTAATATCCCTCTAATTATTAAATATCCCATTCCAGTTTTTGGAACTACCATTATATTGGTGAGTAACCCTCTTTCAGGGCCTTGCTTGTTTACACAATAATTTGTCTGGAGGTGGCCACACTTTTGCTTCCGTCTCAAATATGAGTCATGACTCATATGTATAACTGAGCTAAGAGCACATTCTAGTCTTCAATGAATTACAAGAAACCAACTGAAAACAACATCAAGGAACCTCTGCCGTGGATTTCTCTTAAGTGACAGCCAATGTGAAAACCCTGCTGGGATTATATCACTGGACACAAAATATATCAGCAGTTCCCTTCATCCCCTGAAGTAGAATTGTTTTTCTATTAGATCCAGTTGGTCAGCTGTGTTGGTCTGAGCAGTACAACAAATTTAGAGTCCAATGGCACCTTTAAGACCAACAAAGGTTTATTCAAGGTATTGCATGCACACGAAAGCTCATACCTTGAATAAACCTCTGTTGGTCTTAGAGATGCCACTGGAGTTTAAATTTGTTGTTTATCTATCATACATTTTAACCTGACACTTCTCAGGTCCTTATTGTAACCCTGAACTAAGCCTGCAGTACAGGGCAGATTATAAATCTAAATAACACTTTAAAAAATATGCTGTTTTTTCTGCCCAGTGGAAGCATGAGTGCAGTAAGAGAAGGATGTGGGAAGCATGTGGTTATTTTTTGCCCCTCTCCCAAGCCCATCACGCTGCCGTCTCCATCTCCACAGCTTGTGGAGGATGCTGGTGTTGGAAAACCAGGAGGAGCTGCAGATGCTGAAGAAAGAGCTGCAGAGCTGCTTCCCCGAGTCCCTAAAGGTAAGACAGCATCCTCCTGTAGTCCTCACCTCCCAAGAACTCGGTACATCAGTGACCACAGCAGGCCAATGAATCTAACTGAAGGCTTCCTTTGAACACTACCAGGAGCTCAAGTGCTTGAGTTTTCTCCCAGATCAACTCTTGCATCCTAGAGACGCAAGGACCCTTGAAGTGGTTCAGTTCCCTTTCTGAACATCACATGTTCCAGGCATCTTCACTTTAGGGCTCTGCTCCTTACCTGAAATCTGGAAAGGAAACAGGGCCGCACCTTCATTACCATAGAGTACTGGAAACATTAGAAGACCAAGGAACTTGTTGCTTCCGTCACTGGGGCTTTATAGAAAACGGCAGATAAAGTGGGCTAGCAATGCACCTTGAGTGTTGCCACTCACCCGTCCCTGGTTGGATCAGATACTTGCTAATGACAATCCGAGAGTAACTTTTAAAAGCAAGCAAGGATTCATCTTGACTGGCTCCCCCCCCCCCGCATTTCTGTTACATTTGTCAAGACAGATGAGGCATACACCTTTCTCTTGGTCCACCAGGTCTATGGGGCTGTACTGAACATCTGTCAAGAAAATCCCTTTCATCAGGAGATACTTGTGGATTCCTGGCCTAGCTTCCGTGCTGTCATTGCAAGGCCCCAAAGAGAGGTACTGTTGAGGCCGGGAGCTACTGGGCACCTGAAGGAAGAAGGGCTGCTTTTGTTTCTAAAGTAGCCCCTTCAGTAGCACTGACTACTACTAGATGTGTGGAGGCCCGGAAAAAAGGGAACAATTTGGGGGAGGGGAGGGTTTCCTTCACACACACACACACAATTTTGGGGAGTACTGAAAAAACTGCTATGAATTTTTTTTTTCTTTTCAAATGAATGAAATGCTTTTATATACAAGATGGGTATGTTGACAATATATGTAGCTCTTAAATCCCAGAAGCCTTTCTGCACCTAGGACACCTAGACCTCAGGAGGGGAACATGAAAGGCTTTCATTGCTTTTCAATTGCTGCATACCTTCTGTTGACCTTTGACCTGACCTGTGGTTGACCTTTTCACCTCTACCTCAAACCACTGTGACACAGACCCAGAGGCTGGGTAACCAATACCTTATTGTCCAATCTTGCTGGGAAGGGGGGGGGGGAGAGAGAGAGATCAGGAGGTGGGGCAGAAACTGCACCAAAGCCTCAGAGGAAAAAACCTGAACGTTTCATTGAGAACTGAGCTGTCTCTAACCAGACAGCAAAAATTATGTGTGCTAAGACAGCATAGGGTGCATTGGCTTGCAGTCTTCTTTCAGGTATTTGGTATAAACTGTTTACAGCTTTTAAATTCCATAAACACATCAAATGCTGCAATTTTATGTGCTAAGTTAGGTATAAATGATGCACGTTGTTGTTAAAGCAGCAAAACTGGTTTAGGTTCAGTAGGCAATAACGACTCCATATATTTCAATTTCCCCCCAAACTTGGTTTTTTTCACCCACAAAAACTGGGAAAACATTTTTTCCCATGGAAATTTTTTTACATCTCTAGCTACGATGGGAGGGACCTGGTGCAACAGATGTCACTACCAGTTAGGCCGAGAAGGCAAAACCACAAGCCCCCAACCTAGTGCCAGCACACTGAAGAATCCTATCTGACTGCCGTGGATGCCTACTGAGCCGGACCCTTGTCTTGGAGTGATCTTGACTGGACCATATGCTCACTTGTCTCCTCCCATTAAAGAGGAAGAGGTGCCGATTGCATCAGCCCTGCAGTCACACTGGGGGGCCATCCAGTGCTTGCACACAACATTCCTCCCTGCAGCAGCAGGACACTCACAGCACTTCTCATCCAGCACAATTCACATCCCTGTTGCTCTGCAGACACCTAGAGCAGCAAGGGAGGAGGGGCAGGAAGTCTCCTTCCAGGTCGATGCACTAGTGTGCCTGCCCAGCTCATGCCAAATTACGCTACTCTACCAAGTAAGATCCCCTTCACCAATTAGGCTATGGCCTGTTGCCCTGCATTACAGCACAGGAACAGAGAACCAGACTGTCCTAAAGTTTAAATAAGATCTCAGATTCTTCCAACTGGTAATACGAGCATCCGGGCCCCCTGGGGAAGAACACCACCAGTGGAGCACCGGGGGGGGGGGGGAGAATTTGCTTGTTCAGAAATAGTAATGTGTAGAACTACTTTAAAAGTTAGCTCTGCTATCATGCAAGAGCATAGCTTTTACCCATATAACCTGTAAAAGGGGAACTGAAGCCATAGGGGGGGAAATCACAAGTAGTTGGAAACTGCAGGTAGAATGGGATAGAACTAGCAGCCTTGCTGGTGTAAGCTATTTGTTGCCAGTGACTCCATGGGTCATAGCAAATAGGCATCCATGCCACTTACACACATACTTTTCACATAGTACCTACCAATTGTAATAGAGGTGCTTCCAGGGGTCAGGAAATCATCTTCTCATCACTGAAATATTGTTGTAAATACAGGGGAAATCCCACAGCAACCATTTGGAACTCTTGTGTGACAAAATAATCTGGAATACCGAGGTAGCATGAGCAAAGAGGAGTATCTTCCTGTTCCCATTTCTTCTTTGTGCTCTTGTCCAGAAAGCGTCATCAAAGACCAACTATTTTGCCGGCTCCTATGCAGTTTTCTATAGGGAGCTGGGTGCCTACCAGCAATTGGTTAAAGATACAGATGCTATTGACTGGAGTCAAGAATTCCTATTGCAAGGTAACACTGTTGGGCTTCAGGACCCAAAGCTCGGTGTGTGTACGTACCACTGCTACTAAGTATAGTGTACAGTACATGCATGCACACACCCACGCTCCCTTTGAACCACCTGAGTTCAAACTTACCCCTACCCCTTTTCTACTCTCCAGGCCTTCAGGATGGCGTGCATCAGATGTCTCGGACCCTAGCAGCTGTCAAACACTTCTCTTCAAAGCTGGTGTCTCAGACTCGGGTTTTTGTTCTGCTGAAGCCCTTGAATCTGCCTGCTACCACACCCACGTACGTAGTCCTCATAACTACACGGGTTAGGAGGCAACAGTACTAGTTAGGGAGGTGCTATTAGACTCGAGACTTAAAAAGCAATGGAGACCTCACCTGTATGACCACAATGAAGGGAGAGCTGAAGCATGAAGAAAACTTTCTATAAAGGAAAGTCTAGATGGGAGCAGCATCATAGGTTTCTGGAATGATTGCAGCAGGGGTCCCTCAGCCTTCCTGAGCCTGTGGATTCCTTTGGAAGTTTGAGAGGAGGTGGTTCGTGAATGCCACCCCAAAATGCCTCCCACAGGAGGCAAAGTCGAACACTGCAAAAGAATTACAGGAGGGGAATAAAAATGAAGGAACGCCTGGAGGGAACAAGGTAGGGATTGGGGATTTTTTGTTTTTTAAAGGAAAATGGCAGTGGGGTGGTGGTGGGGAGGCCTGAAGGGGAAATGGAAACACAAACGTATGTGCCTACCAGTCTGCCGATCCTCCAGTGGCTGCAGCTCCTACGGCAGCTGTGGAAAAGCCTTTTGCTTAAATGAAAGGCAGCCAATTAACAAACCTAGCTTTACAATGGCCCCGTCAACTTTCTGAAAAGCAGCACAGGTGCCGGGGAAGTACAGGTGGGCACCGCACTGGAAAACACTAGGTTATAGTTTCAGGGACAAAGGCTAGTCCACCAGCCCTAGCATTCGGTAGGTGTTTATATACACAATAATCACAAGAGTCCCAACACCGGCAAAATATCAGCAGTGATATATACCCCCTTTGCAGGGGTACAAAAGGCAGCATTAGCTATGTTCAACACACATTCTGGAAAGGTCCCTTGCTCTATAGGGAGCAGAGTTTGAGTAATAATATCCGTGTTCTTTAATACTACAGTAAAGGATTCTGCCTTTTGAGAGATCAGCATTCCCAACAGCAGGATGTGTTCTGTTTCCTCAATACACAACTATGGTCTACATTACAGTGAGTCCATTACACTAACATTTGCACAAAAAAGCTGCCTTCTGTACTGCTAGCAATACCTTCAAGAAAAATTCTGCTGGATCAAGAACAAAAAGACACCGTCAGTGGCAAATAAAATATTGATGGTGGCATAGAAACTGCATCTAGAATAGGGAGACTTTAATATCTTATAGTAGTACATTTACTCTAAACATACTGCTTTTACAGCACGTTAACAGCGCAGAATGTTATCACGGATTTTAGCCTTTACTTAGACACCTAGGACAAGACTTAGGGCTCATTCTCATGAGCAAATATTGAGCAATCACCACCTTGTTTTCACAGGGCCCAGCCTGCAAAGGTTCAGACATGCCTTTTATGTGATTTTATTTAAACAGGATTATAATTTTTCCTTATCACTATTTGGAAGCTTCCAGATAGTCACAGCATACAATCCAGTGTATCCAATCTGGCTTGCCAGTAGCTCTTCAGCACCCTATTGTTGCTTCTGCAGATGGGCCTTATCCTCCCATTCCTTCTTCAGGGCAGGCTCTGAGCTGAAGTTCTCATCCCTCAATGCGACCCAAGTCACGCTGTTGAATGACACTTGGAGCGTAGGTGGCCATGAGCAGAGCCTCCAGTACTTGACTCAGCTGATCAGCTCCTTTCCCAGTAGTTGCCTTCTAGATGCTGGAGGATGTCCAATCTCTTGGGTCCTGCTGGATCAGTTTGGATGCTTGACCCATGCTTATACCATGCCAGCTCACCGGGGCAAAGGCTACATTCAGCAGGTGATCGCAGCACTAGCCCAAAAGCTAGAGAAGATGGACTACCCAGTGTATGGGGATGTCCTAGAAGACAACACATCTATGAAGAGGGCCCTGCAATGCCTTGGGGCTCACTTTACTTCTTGCTTTTTGTTCTATGACCTGCAAACCCCCCTGGCCCGGCAGGAAGAGGCGCCTTGAATCACTGGGAGCACCCTAGCCTTTGCAAAATATCTAGTAACAGTAGAACTGGTTGTTCCCCATCTCAGATCTCCATGGCAAGCTGTTCCTTCAGCTGTCAACACCCAGATTTTAGAATACAATGGTTAATCAAATCAAAGAAACCCCAGCGGGAAGTCTGAAATCTCTGCTTAACCCACCCAGAATGCAGCTCCCCACCTGGGCTCCCAGGACGCTCGTCATCTCACCCCCACACAGGGTTGTGGCTCAGTGGCAGAACATCTGCTTTGCATGCAGAAGGACTTGGTTCAGTCACCAACACCTTGTGAAGAGGACCAGGCAGCAAGTGATGTGAAGAAGACCTCTACCTGAAGCCCTGGAGAGCTGTTCCCAGTTTGAGTAGACAACAGTGACTTTGATGGACCAGAGGTCTGATTCAATGTAAGGCAGCTTCATGTATTCATGTTTGAGGGACAGTTAAGCCGATAATGAATGTCTCAGAGCAGTGCTTTAAGGAAAAGCCCTCTTTCCTTCTAGGAAAATATGCTGACATGTAAAAGCCCAATCTTGTGCTTACTTACACAGACGCAAGTCTCACGGAGTTCATGGAATCTTCTCCCAAGTAAGGGCATAAGACCAAGGGCATCAACCAAAGTTGATGCAAGTGACTGTTGAGATACATACCATCACAATACTTTTAATTTTGTGTTGATCAAAATCTAATTAAAGGATATATTAGCTGTCTGCATTTGTAAAATGCAAATTGAGTGGGTTGAGATACTCCCCCCCCCCACACACAATTGTCATCATTCAACATAAACAGCATGCCATAAGAACTGGTGTTCTGGGTTCAGTATTTCACTTTCCCAGTGTCAAATAATTGCTTGGCAGCTATACTACAATAACTACACAGTACTGTCTGGGGCCTTTAATCACAGAGTGCACGTGGCCCTATATATGCCAAGAGCAGGAAGGCCGACCACTACTTCCGGAGGCACTCCACGTGCCTGGCACATCCAGAGTTTACTGGAAAGCAGTCCGGATTTAACTGTGCCACAACTCTCCTGAATAATTCTTTGTACTGCCTGTGCTCCACCCTTTTATGCCCTCGTGCAGCCCAATCTTATGCCTTCCCTCGCGTACTCAAAAATATGTTGTTGAGTTTAGTTAATGGGGCTTATTCCCAAGTATTCACCGGATTGCAGAATTAGAAACACAAGCATCTTACCCAGCTGATTCCCAGCAGTCATCTCAAAGGGCGGGAACGTGACATGGTATAGCCCAATCTCGTCAGATCTTAGCGTCCCCTCTAAGCTGGGCTAGGGGGTGCTGGCATACAAAATTTTAGCTGCCAGCTCAGGGAATGTAATGTTCTACCCACACTAATGCATCTTCCCTCCATTGGAAAGAATGCGGCAAAAGTGGAGCCTCTGCCTCAAAAGACAGCCCCCCCCCCCCGAGCACCAGGTACTCCTGGATCGATTCTCCATTATAGCCTATGGGGTCTATTGACTATAATGGTCCCCATAGGCCACGAAATGGAGCCAGGAAAAATGGTGGGGCTCTTTGCACACCTGTTATGCTTTTCAGTATGATTTGTAAGCTGCCTTGAGTCACAGGAAAAGTGAGATATAAATATTTGAATAAATACGTAGTTTGGGCAGGTTGATAACATTTATGCAACTTCCTGTTTGTTAGGTTAGGCAGGGTTCTGACCATGATTGTTCCACCTCTGCTATACTTGACCTGTAATTTGTCATATTTCACTAAAAAAAAAAAAAACAAAGTAGACTGCAATAATTTCCCCCCTTAAGTGCTGGTATGTTTTCTAAGACTCAGCGCAGGTCGACAGTCCAAGGCCAGCTCTACCAATATAGTGGACTTGGGTGGGTAGACCTGTTCTCCGCAGGCCTGCTCTACCCCAATAGAGGACATTTTCTGTAATGAAATTTGACTTAATTCGGTTTTCTCTCATAATGTTTAAATTATTCTTAAAATATAGTTTAAAAGAATTCATCCTGAGATTTTTACAAGGTTATGGAAATAATCTAAAAACCCTAATTTATGCGATAGTCAAATGTAGACTCGCTCACGGCTTCCGGTCGGGCTAAGATGGAGGACTGACACACTTTCGCGACTGTGCGAAGTGAGCGACGGCCGCTTTTGACAGTTTGGGCAGTTTTTAGCCCAACGCATCGCTCCCCAGTGAGGGGGGGGGACAAGCAGGCAGCAGCGCCTAAGAGGGAGTGTGAGGTTGGCGTGATCCGGCTCCCGAAGGAGCCGTTTCATGCTTTGATCTCCTCCCCCGAAGAAGGCAAGTGCCAAGCAACTCTGCAGCGGCCGTTCGAGCCGGATTACCGGTTTAAGCTCTCTACCAGCCGACCTCTTGAAGATGGGCAACAACAGTAAGTGAAAAGAAGCAATGCGAAACCCGATTTGATCGTGCTAGATAACAATAAACGTGCCGCTTACCTGAACTGTGATAAGATAAAAATTGAAACAAGCGGTTGAGCGGGAAATGACCAAACATTCCCAGAAATCCGATTCCGGCAAAGAAAATAGTTGATTGAAGGCTTTAAAACAGTAAAAAAGAACATTGTTTAACATTCCTGCGGTGGGAATTGAGATATGTGCGCAGCCGAAAACCGAAACTGACGAACTGTATCGCGGGAGGAGCAGGCCGGTGTAACGAAAAAAATACTCCGAGGTGCTGGAACAGGAAGAGGAAGCCCTGAAAGAAGGGCTGAAGCCAACAGGAAGCCAACAGGAAGAGACTCGGAGCTACAAGAGAGCAGAACCGGAAGTGAGTGTATACGAACAGACGGGACCTGGAATACGGTAACCTGACCTACTCTATACCCGAATACCATAGAGAAGTTGCGCCCGACATTTTGAGGAGGACCTGACTTTAAATTTGACTTTAAACTTCTTTTAGAGGGTTTTTAAAAGCGAAAATAGAAGGGAATGGCTGATTGAAGGCTACCCTTTAGAAGAGACTGTTTGTTTGTGAATTTGCGCACCGCAGGAAAAGCACCAAAACGGAGACCAGAAGAGGACCGAAAAGAGCTGACTCTGATCCTGACGTTAAGCCAAAAGTGAGACCAAGAACTAATTCAACACCAACTAGGCTGACACCAACCCCCAAGATGTCAAAAGAGAGGGAGAAGGATAAGAAAGAGATGTATGCTGCCATGGAGGCAATGGAGAAAAGGATGCTGGAAGCAATACAAGCTATGGGAGAACAAAGTGAAAAAAGGATGGGGGAACAGATTGAAAAGCAACTGGAGGCACAAATGGCAAAGCAGACTCAGATTCATCTGAAACAACTTGAAGAGGTTCAGGAGAAGAACATAGCGGCAATTAAAGATTTGGTCACTACTGAGATAACTTCAATCAAGCAAGAAATAGAAGGAGTCAAAAAGGAGATTCAGGCTAATGCAACCAAAACTACGGAAGTGGAAGAGAAGATGCAACAAGTGGAAGAAAAACAGGATTCTTTGACTCAGCAATTTAGAAGATCAGAAACAATGATGGAGTTCAGAAGGATGCAAACCCATCTGAGATTCAGGGGCATTAAAGAGAAGGAAAATGAAGATATAAGAGATGAAATGATGAAGGCAATAACATCATATTTGGAAGAAGATGAAGGGACAATGGACTCTGATTTTGATTTGATATACAGAGTGAACTCCAGAATTGCAGAAAAGAAAAATTTACCAAGAGATGTTATTGTACAATTTGTAACAAGAACAACTACAGAAGATATTTTTAAGAAACAATTCACCGTCCCTTTTGAAATGGAAGGAAACAAGATTATGGTGATGAGAGAACTCCCCCGAGCAGTACTGCAAGACAGAAAAAGGTATAAGCCTTTGGTGGATAAACTGAGGACTTTGAATATTAGGTACAGATGGGAAATTCCACAAGGCTTATCCTTTACTTACAAAGGTGGGAGAGTCCAGATCAGGTCGGTGACGGATTTTTATAAATTTAAGGCGGACAATTCTGACGTCTTTGGAGAACTTTAAATTAAGAATCTACAATGGATTACAAATTGTTGTCATGGAACGTGAATGGATTAAATTCACCTAACAAGAGGAAAAGAATCAATTATTGGATACAAAAACAAAATTGTAACTTGATATGCTTGCAAGAAACTCATATTAGAAAACTGGATGCCAAATATTTAAAAAATGTTAAATTGGGATTAGAATTTTATTCCTCGGCCTTAAATAAGAAAAAAGGTGTGGTGATATATGTGAAAAAGGATTTACAACCTAAAGAAATTTTCAAAGATTTGGAAGGAAGATATGTGGGTGTGGAAGTGATGATTCAACAGAAAAAGACACTGGTGGTCAATATATACGCACCCAATGGAGCAAAAGAAAAGTTCTTTAAGGACTTAACTGAACACCTACAAGGACAAACTTATGATCAAGTTATTTTGGCCGGAGACTTTAATGGAACTATAGATCGGCTGGATAGACAATCACAAAAAGGCAACGAAATTAGTGGAAAATTGCCAAAGAACTTTTTTGAACTAGTCAAACAGGAAAAACTAGAAGATGTGTGGAGGAAATGGAACCCAACGCAGAAAGATTTTACTTTTTATTCCAATAGACATTGCTCTTTTTCCAGAATTGATATGATTTGGATGTCAGAAGAATTGTCAATGAAAACACAAAAAATAGAAATCCTGCCTAGATGTAACTCGGATCACAACCCTGTTTTGTGGACCTCTACTGAAAGGAATAAATCCTTTCTTTGGAGAATAAATGAAGATTTGTTGGATAAAAAAGGTGTTATGGAAATGTTAAAAGAAGAAACAAAACAATATTTCCAACAAAATCTGAATAAAGAGACTTCAATACAGGTAGTGTGGGACGCTTACAAAGCTGTGATGAGAGGGATTCTCATCTCACAAAATGTGAAGCAAAAGAAGGAAAAACTTCAAAGGCAAGTGGAAGTATTGGAACAAATAGCCCAAAAAGAAAAAGAACTGAAGAAGAAACCGGGGAAAAAGAAGATTATTAGAGAACTACAGTTGCTGAAAGAACAGCTGAATGATTTTTTGAACCAAGAGCTTTATTGGAATTTAAAGAAGTTACAACAGAAATCTTTTGAAGGGGCGAATAAACCGGGGAAATATCTAGCTTGGCAACTCAAAGCAAGAAAAGAAAGAAGAATGATAACCAAAATTATAGAAGAAGGAAAAGAATTCGTTGACCCTAATGGTATAAAGAGAAGTTTCTTCAAGTATTATGCTAAATTGTTTCAAGCAAATAGAATTGATCTTGAGAAGATTGAAAGATATTTAGAAGAGATTCCACTATCCAAAATAAGCAAAGAGTTTAAAGATTTACTAAATGGGCCAATCCAAACAGAGGAAGTGAGGAAGGCAATTGAAGAAGCGAAGTTGGGGAAGGCGCCAGGGCCGGACGGATTTACCGCGAAGTTTTATAAAAAAATGAAAGAGGAACTTGTCCCGGCCCTGGAAGCTTTATCCAACGACATACGGATGTGCAAGAAAGTGCCAGACTCATGGAAAGAGGCAATCATTTCATTGATACCAAAGGAAGGCCAAGAACTAACGAATGTAAAGAACTACAGGCCAATTTCTCTCCTAAATAATGACTATAAGATCTTTGCAAAAATTATTGCAGAAAGAGTGAAAAACTACTTACAAACAGTGATTTCAGAAGATCAAGCGGGCTTTCTGCCAAAAAGACAAATTCGAGATAATGTAAGAATAGTAATGGACGCAGTGGAATACTATGAAAAGCACCCTGAAAAAGAGGTAACTTTTTTGTTTGTGGATGCGGAAAAAGCATTTGACAATCTTAATTGGAAGTTTATGTTACAGATGATGGAAAAAATTGATACGGGACAACAGTTCAGAAATTGTATTGAAGCTATCTATTCGGAACAAAGAGCTACACTGAATGTAAATAAAGAATTGACCGATAGCTTCAAGGTACAGAAAGGTACTCGGCAGGGTTGTCCCTTGTCACCGCTATTGTTCATTTGGGTGTTGGAGGTACTTTTACAAAAAATACAACAAGATCAAGAGATTAAGGGTTTGACACATAAAGGTTTTAAATATAAATACCGTGCTTTTGCAGATGACGTAATGTTTATTGTGGAAAACCCGACGGAAGAGTTACCGTTACTATTTCAAAAAATAAAAGATTTTGGAGAATTGGCAGGATTTTATGTAAACAAGAATAAAACGAAGCTTATTTGCAAAAATATGACGAAACAAAAACAAGTGGAACTACAAAATTTGGTACAATGTGAAGTGGTAAAGAAGACGAAATACTTAGGCATTGAGTTAACTGCAAAGAATATAGACTTATATAAGAACAATTATGAAAAACTATGGGCTAAGTTAACCCAAGACTTTAAGAAATGGGACAAAATGAACTTGTCACTGATGGGAAGAATTTCAGTTATAAAAATGAATGTCCTACCACGTTTGATGTTCCTGTTCCAAACAATACCAATACTTAGTAAGACAGATTTGCTGCAAAGGTGGCAACAAGAACTATCAAAGTTTGTTTGGGCAGGCAAGAAACCGAGAATTAAGATGAAAATACTTTGTGATGCCAAGGACAGAGGTGGACTACAGCTACCAAATCTCAGATTATATTATGAAGCGGTTTGTATGACCTGGTTGAAGCAATGGGTGAAATTAGAAAATGATAAGCTATTGGGGTTAGAAGGTCATGATTGTAGATTTGGTTGGCATGCATATTTATGGTATGACAAAACAAAAATGGATAGCTTTTTTAAGCATCATGTGGTAAGAAAAGCATTATTTGTGGTATGGATGAGATATAAAAAATATTTTGGTGATGTAAGGCCACTTTGGATTGTACCAGTGGAAGTGTTAACATCTTACTCAAGACGTAGAGACAAAGATTGGTTGCTGTATAAAGACATAATAAAAAAAGAGGGAACAGAATGGGTAATGAAAAAGCAGAATGAAATTGAATATGAATATGAATGGTTGAAATACATGCAGATCTCTGACCTTTTTAGGTCAGACAAAAGAAATTATGGTTTTAGAGAGGAAAAAAATGAAATGGAAAAGGTATGGGAGAGTGGAGGGGGAAAAGATATCTCTAAAATGTATAAAGTGTTGTTAAAATGGTATACAGAAGATGAGACTGTGAAAGAGCAAATGTTAAAATGGGCAATAAATATGAATAAGGAAATTGACATAGAAACCTGGGAATATTTGTGGAAAAATGCTATTAAGATATCACCCTGTACCAATGTTAGAGAGAATTGTTACAAAATGATGTATAGGTGGTATATGACCCCAAAGAAAATTGCAAATATGAACCAGAATATGTCAAATAAATGTTGGAAATGTAAAAAACATGAGGGCTCATTTTACCATATGTGGTGGACTTGTGAAAAAGCCACACTCTTTTGGACAAAAGTCCACAGAGAAATGCAAAAAATACTTAAGTGCTCTTTCAAAAAAGCGCCTGAAATTCTGCTTTTGGGATTAAAAATGGAAGAAGTTAACTCGACTAAAAGGACTTTATTATGGTACCTTATCACAACAGCGAGGATGATCTATGCACAATTTTGGAAGACTGACAAAGTACCAGAAATCGAAGACTGGATACAAAAAGTTCTGTTCATGGCAGAAATGGATAAAATTACAAAGAAGTTGAATAATCAAGAAGATAATGTGTTTTTTCAAGAATGGAATGACTTTAAAATATATCTGGAAAAGAACTGGGATGTAAAACAAAACTTAATATGTTTAGATCAATATTAAGTCAAATGATGTTATCTTGAGGTTGTATGATAACAAATGATGTGTTAATGATATAAAGAAATTTGTAAGAAGGGAGTGAAGCATTGCGGGAAGCCATTGGAGGGAGGAGAGGAAGGGAATGGGGTAAACAATGGACTGAATGATTTAATTTTATATGTTATGTTCCTAAGAAAATAATAAAAATTTGTTTACCAAAAAAAAAATGTAGACTCGCTCACAACTTTAACGCTACTAGCTGTTTTCACTCATGGGGTAGAATTTTTGCTCACAGCACTGTGGAGCTTAGAGGGACCACTGAAGCAGGGTCAGTACATGGATGGGAGACCCCCAAGGAAGACTCTGCAGAGGAAGGCCATGGCCAACCACCTCTGCTTCTCACTGGCCTTGAAGGCCCCTTGCTGGGGTCACCACAAGAGCGGCTTGACAGTACTTTACACACACACAACACACACACACACAGCAGTCTCAAAGTCAAAGTACACATATAACTATGTCCTTAACACTGTTTTGTTCAGCCACTTCAAAATGTTCACCCTCTCCTGTATGCCATTAGTGTGGGATGTGTATGTTCTGATACATAACAATTTTTGTCACATTAGTGTGATTTGTTTCAATGATACTCCAAGAAATAGCTGCTTTTCTAAAAATCACAAATAACGGAACCCTTTGCTGTTTTTGTTGTTGTTCAGTCGCACAGTCGAGTCCGACTCTTCGCGACCCCATGGACCAGATCACGCCAGGCCTTCCTGTCTTCCACCGTCCTCTGAAGTTTGCTCAATTTCATGTTTGTTGCATCTATGACACTGTCTAACCATCTCATAACAGGGTTGGAGAACCAACTACATTTCCAGTGATTGTGAGCAAGGGGTTGGCTCATGAGCCCCCAAAATTCTCACCCAGAGTTCAAGGGACTCCCTCCAACCGTACAGGAGGCAGGAATCGGCAAAACACACTCCATCCCAAAGGAACTACCTGCTCCTTTAGCATAAGTGCTCTTATGCCAGTGGATCACCACCTGCGGATCCAATACAAGAAATAAACATACATAACCAGAGGACACGACAGCAGACATCCCCCACAGGCTCAGAACTCCTTTTCAGATACAATAGCATGAGAGTGCCATGAATGCTCTTGCTTTGATTGCGGGGGGGGGGGGGAGCCCTGCTGCAAGGTATAAGCTATTAAGGAAGCAAAGTGGACAATATAACCAGCAAGTGATTAGGGCTGTGAGGCTAAGCATTTAAAAGTGTTACGCTCAGGTCGAAATCAGACATTATGCCTAGCTTGTCAGGTCAGGGCTCCTGCAACATGACTGATGTTTGCACAGCAAACATGACACCAAGAAACCAGTGAGCACAAGTGTGATAAGGCCTGATTCAGCACGACTGGAAACGTCAGTTCCCCAACATCACGTGCGGCTGTGCAAATGTTGCAGTCGGGCCAAGGGAACCCTGACTTGAGCTGCGCCAGACCTGGCCTCTAGTTTGGGGCCTCGTGCTCTTCTGTATTAATCGACTGGTAGGCCACAGGGAAAGTTTAAATAAATCATGGCCCCTGACAGTCCCGTCCACACCTTTATTAACATAAAAAAATTAATAGTATTTCCCTCTTAGCGTACAGGGTTGCGTCCCCAGTGGTTTCATCAGCAGGTACAGATGGAAGGATAACTCAATCTCTTTTGAAGCCTCTTGGATCCAAGGGATCACATTTGATAGCTTTTGACCCTTGGACAGAGTAAACCGTTCCAGAAGATGAGTGCCTGCAGCTCTTCAGCTCATCTAAAACTTCTACATAAACACCAGGGGAGATGCAGAGGCTCTTTGTGAGGTGCTGGAGCACCTCCGCCACTCAAGGTTTGCCTGTTAGAGAGGCTACATGGGAGATTGCTCGAGATCAATCCACACTGAAGACACAAAGTCTCATAATGAAGTAGTTTTCTCCATGACACAATACTTTTTAAAAAAGAATTTGCAGTGCTGTAGAGGAAAGGCTATCCCAATCCACATAAGTGCTTGTACATGAACGGCTTTCTGCGTAATAGCCATGTACAGCTATTTCAGGCATCATCTCTCTATGGCAGCTGTCACAAACTGCCTCAGAAGCACTACCAGGGAGGCTTGGCAGCACCCTCCAGCCTTCTCTTAGTGACGGAATCAAAGCTTTATTTGTCCACAAACAGCCTTGATAGAGTTAAACTTCCTGCATAATCAAGCAGGATTCACTTTCTGCATGTAGGCAAGCTGATCTGCTTCTATAGGTCTGGAAGGAAGAAAGCTGAAGGATATGGTGCCTGGGTGAAGAAGAAAAAACTACTGGTCCACTTCATCCAAATTCATTAAAATATAAAGGGCACAAGGAACCCCACCCCACCCCACCCCAAGCAAACAGACACCCTTTTTTTCCAGGGGGAAATATTGCTTTCCTACCAGCCCACAATAGCAGTAGGATGGTGTAGCCCCTTTAAGAGGAAGACAGTTGAACAGGCCTCCTTCCTCTCGGGGGATGGTCAATGGCTCCCACCTTCACGAGAGAGTAAGCCACCCTTTAAGTTGTGGTGCCTCCTCATCATGTCCCTCCCAGCTCCCTCCGTGGATCTGAGAGATCTCCCTTCACGCCTGTGTCATTAAGCCATGCTCACAGCCAGCTCCATTTCCCAAGATTAAGTGATTATTTTTAAAAAAATCTGTATAGAAATCAGCACACTGCCATCATTCTGTTCATCTGGGGCAGGCACAAGAGGCCCAGGCTTCAGTGGAATCTCTTTTCCTCCCACACGTATCGCTTCCCTGCAGGCACCTTCCGGAAAAACAGACTGTTTCCTCGGCTCATGTTGCCCTGAACAAGGGAAGAAAAGGAAGTGAGTTCAGGAGCTTGAACAAGTCTGAAGGCAGAGGTTTCAACACCTTACCAACAGATACTTGATTTGCAAAACTGATTCTGAAGATCTGTTGCACTTTGGAACAACCCTGCTACAGGAGAATCCCCGCTAGACTACCACTTTCCCAATCTGTGGAGGAATTCTGACATATTTCTCTCATCCAGGGCTATTTTTGGGCAGGAACGCACAGGAACGGAGTTCCGGCTGGCTCCCAAATTGGCCACACCCAGCAGGAACTCAATAGCATAATAGGCCACAGCCAACAGCAGAAACTCATTGGAATTGGCTACATTAGGGGTGTGTGGCCTAACATGCAAAGGAGTTCCTGCTACAAAAAAAAGGCCCTGGGTTTTGACCACAAACAAGGTAAACAGAATAAAAAGCAGAAGCTGGGTGTGGCTGGATGACCACACTTCTGGTAGCATGGGAATGCGGCTTAATATGCTAATGAGCGGTGCAGTCAGGGGTGTGGCCCAATATGCTAATGAGTTTCTGCTTCTGGGTGTGGCCTAATATGCTAATGAGTTCCTGCTGGACATTTTCTACAAAAAAAGCCCTGTCTCATACTGTCTTTAAACGATAGCCTAAGTCTGCAGGAAAGTAGCAATGCTACCTTAGAACTCACATGCATCAATTCACCTCTTCCCAAAAGAGTCCCTTCCCCCACACACAGCTTGAATGCCAGGGTGAAGATAAGGCTTTCATACAAGTAGCCCCACACAAATCCCAGGGTGGTCCACTTGCATGAGCACAACACACACTGGTTTTAGCACATCTGTGTAAAGGGTTTTATCCCCTCCCCCCCAGGCTTCCACACAGACCGGTCTTTTACAGAAAACGGGCAGGCAGACAAGCCCTTCTGGGACTGGCAGGGCAGCTGGAATCCAGCTAGGGCGGAAGGCAGTCCAAACCTCAGTGAATTTGTCTGACATCCTTACTTCGTGGTGAGGAGGCTCAAATGGCTGAGCTTCTCGCTAAAGCTTTTCATAGCCCGCTTTCCTCTACCTTAAGGAGTCTCAACCAGCTTACAATGAAATCCACTCCTTCTCCCCACAACTGGCACCTTATAAGCGTTCCCATAATGGTGAGGAGGAAGGACCCTTTGTCAATTATTCCTCACAAGGGGGGGGGGGAATGGTATTTTTCAGGTTCAGGTAAACCAAACCTGAAAAAATATAAGTAAATAGAGATATTCCCGAATCCCAGTACCAGTATTATCCTGGGATTGGATAAATACTCCGCATTGCAGAAAATATTCAGCTGGCCATCAGAGCATGTCAGTTTCACTCCCCCTCGACTTCCAAAGGGAGGGGGAGTGAAACTGACCCACCCTCCCCTGAGCTCCTCCAGTGGGCCCCTTGCGGCAGGCCAGCTGGGGAAGCAAAGACAGATTGGGGAGGCTTTTAAAGATGCCTCCCCTCCCCTCCCCTTCCCATGGCAGGCCAGCTGGGGAAGTGAAGACAGATCGGGGAAGCATCTTTAAATGTCTCCCCTTCGCTTCCCCGGCCAGCCAGGGAAGCGAAGAGAGAAGGGGTTCAACCTTTAAACACCTTCTCTCTGGAGTCGCCCCGCAGCGTTGGCACGATCTCTCCACGGGGTACAATAGAGAGATCATGTGCAATGGAGAGATCGTGCCACCGCTGTGGTGCTACTCCAGAGAAGGGGTTTAAAGTTCACACCCCTTCTCTCTCCAGTCATGCCACAGGGGTGGCAGGATCTCCCCACTGTGCCCTATGGGATCATGACTCCAGCAGAGGTAGCGTGACTCCAGAGAACAGGGGGCCTGGCTAGAGAAGAAGAGGAGGAGGAAGAGATTGGATTTATATCCCATGGCCCTTCACTTGGGGTCCCAGAGCGGCTGACAAACTCCTTTCCCCTCCCCTCCCCACAACAGACACCCTGTGAGGTAGGCGGGGCTGAGAGAGCTCTTGACAGAAACGGCTCTCTTTCAAGGACAGCTGTGCCAGAGCTTGTGACTGACCCAAGGTCACATCAGCCGCCCTGAGCCTCCGGGGAGGGCGGGATAAAAATGTGAATAAATAAATAAATAAATATAAATATCAGCAGGTGCAAGTGGAGGAGTGGGGGATCAAACCCGGTTCTCCCAGATTAGAGTCCGCACACTTAACCACGACACCAAACTGGATCTCAGAGGGGATGGCGTTTAAATGCCTCCCCCTCCCTCCCCCAGCTATGATGCCACTGCCTTCCCTTTCCCAGCCGCCCTGCCATGGCAAGCTGGCTGGGGAAGGGAATAGGAGGACGAGCAGGTCGGTGTCACTCCCTCTGCTTCTAAGCAGAGCAGAGTGAAACTGACCCGCTCTTCTCCCCTTTGCTTCCCCCGGGGGGCCCACTGTGGCAGGCCAACTGGGGGAGGCGAAGACAGATCAGGGAGGCTTTTAAAGATGCCTCCCTGATCTGTTTTCCCTTCCCTCCCTGATTCGGGGACGGGCACTCGAACAAAAGCTGAATAAGATCAGCTTTTATTCAGGAGCGCCTTATCGGTAACAGAATCAGATCAGAGAATCTGATTCGGCTGAAATCATATCTGGAAAATACTGATAAAGGTATTTTTGGGGTTTTTATTCCATTCGGCAAAGCCAAATGCACACCCCTATTCCTCACACATCCACATGTAAGACAAAAAGGCCACAGTCCTCTGAGGAAAGGATGGGCAATTCACATACCTCGCTGTGCAGCCGGTTCCAGCAATCCAGCCAGGAGCTGTATTCTGGTGCATAAGGGGGGAGGCCACCAGCAAGCCTGG